ATTCTTCCATATGTATTTCTGCCTCGTTTCTGTCTTTCCTCGTCCCGCCTGCACGTGCTCCGCCAGCCGGCGTGACAGCGCGTGCATGCCGTTCCAAGGCGGGTTTCTCTCCGTGCTCCGTCACCGCTCCTTCGTCCTGCACGTGCTCCGCCAGTTGGCGTGTCAGCGCGTGCATTTTATAGTACGGCTGTGCTCCTCCTTCGTCCGTCTTTCTTCGATATTCTTGCTAGTGCTTCGCCACCCGGCGTGACAGCGCGTGCATTATGTGTTAAGGCAGTTTGCTATCCGTCCTCTGGCATTCCTCGTTTCTTCTGCACGTGCTCCGCCAGCTGGCGTGGCAGCGCGCGCATTCTATTTCAGGGCAGTTTTCGTCCCGTCCTCCGTCATTCCTCGTCCCTCCCGCACATGTTCGGCAAGACAAGCCAAGAACATGTGACGACATCCAAGGACCAGCAAACTACGGCCTCGACATTTCATCATAAAGCCAGTCAATGCCCCAAGCCTGTTCAGCGATCTCCTCGACGAACCCACAAGCCAAGACCTGCGCGTCGTGACAACGAAGAGGCAACCCTGGACGGCGCCATCGGGGCCACAAACACCTTCGCCCCCACAAGAGCGCCTGAAAAGCCCAAAAGCCAGTCCAAGGGAGCCCTGCGACATCCCATAACCGGCCCACGACGGACACAACGCTTCTCCGATTGCGAGTCGCCTGGGAACCCCGACCTCCGTTTCATCACAGCGCCATGGGTTGGACTAGAACTTAAGCGCGCGCGAAGCGCGCGTGTTTCTAGTGCGAATATATATATATATATATATATATATATATATATACATACATACACACATGTGTATATATACAAGTGGCACGTGTCTGCCCAGGCTCATACAAAAAACTGAAGGGGCGTTTGAAGCAGGAGTGAATTGCAACATCGAAGTCGCACTCGAGCGCAAGTGGGGTTGCCTCACCTTGCGATGTGTGTACCAGGACCCCCCAGGAAGCCTCAGGAGGCCCGACTTGGATACCAGAAGAGGCTCCAGGAGGCCCCAGGATTGTGAGTGTTGTGCGTGTGTGTGTGTGTGTGATGTATGCTGTGTGTGGTGCGTGCTTTTTGTATGTTGTAGGTGTTGTGTGTGTGTTATGTTTGTCTAGCGTGTGATGTGTTGGGCGTGATTTGTGTCTCTGTGTGCATGTAGTTCTGAAGCCCCAGGAGGCCCCAGGAAGCCCCAGGCGGCCTCAGGAGGCCCCAGGAGACCCCAGGAGGCTTCAGGAGGCCCCAAGAGGCTCCAGGAGGCCGCAGGAGGCCCCAGGAGGCCCCAGGAGGTTTCAGGAGACCCCCAGGAGGCTCCGAGGCGGGGTCTGGGGTGCCAGAAGGTTCAGAAAGCCCCAGGAGGCCCCAGGAGGTTCCAGGAGGCCCCCAGGAGGCTCCGAGGCGGGGTCTGGGGCTTGATTCTGGAAGGATTTTTCAAGCGAAACCGCCATTCCCTGAGAATCGGGGTCACACTTATTGAAATTACCATGTGGTTTTGAAGGTTTTATGTTAAACTGTTGAAATTCCCATATGTTTTTGGACCCTGACGTCACGATCTGCGTGAGGGGTGCCACCGATTTTCAGAATTTCGAGGATGTCCCGAGCGAAACGCCCAGAAAAATCGCGGACGCGTGCGCATTAATCGCCTCTGAGCTCTACTCCCTCGGAGAGGTGCGTGTGATTATATATACATATATATATATACACACATAGATATGTATATGTACACACACACACATGTATATATGAATGTATGTTTGTATGGGCCAAGACGGCCCAAGAGGCGGCCGAGATGGCACAATAGGCCCCAAGACGGCTCCAGCTACCGCTTCCCTTCTCGAAACCCACGGGGCGGCTTGGAGGCTTTTCCGCGCGCCAGGACTACCGCCCAGGATCTACAGACCTGGGCGTCTGGGGGGACTGGCTGGGTAGAACCGCCAACCCAGCCTGCCGAGCGCGTGGCAGCATTGCCATACATACCAGCGCCCTCCTCTGCCTCGTCTTACTTCTCCTGTCCTATTTCTGCAGTTTATGTGCGTAAGCGCTCACATAACCTGGACGTAACCTTGGGGTTCTGGGGCGCGTTCGTGACCGTGTAGGGGTGAGGGGGGGGCAAGGGAACCCGAAGACGCAGACGCCTGGAATACGGCACGATTAGTCGGCCCAAAGGAGGGTCGAGAAGGCCGTGATGGTGTCGAAGAAGATTCCCAGAACGCCCGGGACGGCATCAGGAGATTGCTCCAGAGGCCATCGACCAGCAAAATCCATCGCCGTGCCCACGGTATTCAACATATGTTAGGTGCCCGCTTTAAAGGTCTTCCAGGCGCCCACGGCAGCACATGAGGGCCCTTAATAGCCTCAAGAGTCTCCAAGAGAGCACCGCAATAATTTCACATCGGCCTCACGAGACCCACGACTCCGCCAAAGTAACCAACATGGCCCAAGATCGCTCAGAAGGTCGACCGTGCCCATTCTGGCTCGAGCACTTTTGGCTGAACCACGAGGGTGGAGGTCCCATCGCAGCCAGTTTGATTATTTGGCTTCAGCCACACCGCCGACCCCTCAGGGAACTAGCGGTTGCGGCGTGTTGCTTTTGAGGGCCTGATTATCGAAGACGCCTACGGCGAATCACCGCCGCCCCTTGCCTTTTTGGAAGCGCCTATGTGGCCGAACGTTGGGGCCAGACCTGCCAAGCTATCGGACCATGTGTTCCCCGAGTCGGTTTGGAAAGCCTTCGGGGAACACGTGGGCATCTTGAAGGTCATCTGGGCCGTCTGGAGACCATTTTGACCCTTTCGGGCCTTCTTGGAGGACTTCTTGGAGGTCTCTTGGGCCGTCTGGGAGGCCATCTTGAGCGTTTTGGAGGCCTCTTGGGGGCCTCTTGGGGCCGTCTTGGGCGATCTTTGGGGGCACTTGGGCCGTCTTGGGCCGTCGGAAGGCCGAACAACGAGCAAATGCCACAATCCTTCAAAATACCCATGGGAAATCAATGATTGTTTTGCCTTTCCGGGCCTTCCTGGAGGCCCTCTTGGAGGCTTCTTGGGTCGTCTTGGGCCGCCTTAAGACCATCTTCGGCCGTCTTGGTGGGTTCCTGGCCCGTCTGACGCCGTCGGAAGCCGTTTGGAGGGTTTCTTTGGGCCGACTTGGGGCCCTCTTGGGGTGCTCCAGGGCCGTCTTGGAGGCCATTTTGGGCGTCTTAAAGGCCTCCCGGGCTGTCTTGGGGGCCTCTTGGGGCCGTCTTGAGGGCCTCTTGGGCCGTCATGGGGCCATCTTGGAGGCCTCTTGGGCGATCTTTGGGTAATCCTCGTGGGCTCTTGGGCCGTCTTGGGCCGCCGGAAGGCCGAAAAGAAGCAAATGTCAAAATCTTTCAAACACCTAAGGAAAATAACTGTTTTTGGCGTTCTTTCTGGCCTTCCTGGAGGCCTCTCGGAGGCCTCTTTGGCGGTCTTGGGCCAGCTTCGAGCCAACTTCGGCCATCTTGGTGGGTTCCTGGCACGTCAGACGCCGCCGGGAGCCGTCTTGGGGGCCTCTCTGGGTCCTCTTGGGGCCCTCTTGGGGCGCTTCGGGGCCGTCTTAGGGGCCATCTTGGGCGTCTTAAAGGCCTCTTGGCCCGTCTTGGGGTCCTCTTGGGGCCGTCTTGAGGCCGTCATGGAGCCATCTTGGAGGCCTCTTGGGCGACCTTGGGGGCCTTTTGGGCCGTCTTGTGCCGTCGGAAAGCCGAAAAGGCGCAAATGCCAAAATCCGTCAGAAACCTATGGAAAATACATGATTTCGCCTCTTCGGGCCTTCTGGAGGACCTCTTCGAGGCCTCTTGGGCCGTCTTGGAAGCCTCTTGGGAGCCTCTGGGGCCGTTTTGGGCCATCTTGAGGCCATCTTAGGCCGTCTTGGGTGCATATTGGGCCGTCTTGGAGGCATCTTGGGGCCAACTTAGCCGTCTTGGAGGCCGTCTTGGATGCATCTTGGAGACCATCTTGGGCCGTCTTGGAGCCGTCTGGAGCAGGGAAAACCTTTGCAACCAGGTTTTGAGATCCTTCCCGGGACCCCGGCGGAACGCGCCGGAGCCCCAGGGGGAGTTCTTTTGGAAAAAGAACCAAAACCCAAACCGAAAGGATCTAGCACGCCAGGCACCCCTGCGATGAATCGACAGGGGGCGGCGGATCGAACGGCTTTCGGCACATCCCGCCACCGTGCCTCGACTGCGGATCTGAGTCCACGCGGATGGCAGACGGGTCTCGTGGGAGGCGTCTCGGGGGCGTCTTGGAAGCAATTGTTGCACCTCTTGGGACATCCCGGGTGGCGTTTGCAAACTTTTTGAGAGGCCTTGCGGAGCTTCTTGGGAGCCTGTTGCGGGCTTCTTGAGACAACCGGGCGGCGGATTGGGATGGAAGGCTCGAAATGTCCGTCCGGGTTCCCCTCTGGACCCCTCTTGGGGCTGTCCAGGAGCCCCCCTGGGCTGTCTTGGGTGCTTATTAAACGGTCTCGGGGCCTCCTTGGGTCGTCTGAGAGCCCTCTTGGGGGCATCTTTGGCCGTCTTGGGGCGATCCAGATGGCTCCCTGGGCTGTCTTGGACGGCACGCTCGCACAAGAGGCGAACGGGTTAAAAATGCACGTCTTCCTGCGGGAATGGGACGGTTTGCTCTTTAAGGCCGTCTTGGACGCCTCTTGAGGGCTTCTTGGGGCGTCTTGGGGGTGTCATGAGCCGTCTGGAGGCCAGCGTGGGCGTTTTGGATCGATCTTTCGGCGGCTTGTGGCCCTTTTCGACCGTCTGGGGGACCTCTTGGTGCCAGCTTGGCCTGCTTTGGAGCCTTCCGTCCCCCCAGAGCGCATTCCAGCCCTCCCCAGGTGACCTCCCCCCACCAAATCGACCGGACCTGCCTCCCGGGGGAGGGGTTTTGGGGGAGGGGGAAACATCTCACACGCCGATGAACCCCAAGGGATCGGTGGATTTGCGGAATCTCTTGCGGATCTTTCATGGTAATGTTGCGCGTGCCACTCGTATTCTTCTTCCTGGCTACGGCGTGGGCGCAAGAATTGTCGCAGCAGGAGCTTGACCCGGTGCTTGCGGCGGACGACGAGTGCGCTTCCGACGGCGGCGAGTCTTGCGGCGTGGAGTTGCTCCAGGCTCGTGCTTCGAAGGACGTCAAGGCGGAACTGGCGAGTTCCACCGTGGAGGCGAATGAGGACGGCGGCGGGCAGCTTCTGCAGTACAACGCCACAGCCAACGCCACAGCCAATGCATCGCAGCCGCCGTGCCGCGGCACCAGCGCGCCTTGCTGGATCGACAACGACTGCTGCTCCTCCCGCTGCTCACGAACCCGCCGCTGCGCGGCAGTGCGCTAGGCGCTTTTCGTGGTATTAGTACTTGCTAAGTGCTCAAGAACAAATGGCTCCGAGGGTCAAAGAGGCTCGCCAGAAATTCCGCGAGGGTCCATGAAGACACCCGAAAGGCCCCCGACATTAGCAAGTCTATGAACATGTCATATGTACCTATACGACCACCCTGCGGGTGATAAGGAGGTTGGGGGGGGGCCAGCAATGGGCAACAGTGGTGAATGTTGTTGTGACAATGCCAGTGGAGATAGTTGCGTTGCCGCTCGCTCTTGGGGGCGTTGGTGTCGATTTGTTTACGTCACCCTTCCCCTGAGAGACCTCATTCGCTGTCTCATTCGGTCTCACTACCGATCTCACAATCGATATCACTATCGACGTCGTCATCATCATCATCGACATCACCATTATCATCATCATCATCATCATCATCATCATCATCATCATCATCATCATCATCATCATCATCATAATCATAATCATCATCGTCATCGTCATCATCATCATCAGCATCATCATCATCATCATCAACGTCGTCATCATCATCACAATCATCATGGCCATCATCACCATCAGCATCGCACAATCGATCTCACTTTCGGTCTCACTATCGATATCACAATCGATCTCACAATCGACGTCATCATCATCATCATCATCATCATCAACGACACCAACATCATCATCATCATCATCATCGCCATCATCAACATCATCATCATCAACATCATCATCACCATCATCATCATTACCATCATCATCATCATCATCATCATCATCATCATCATCATCATCATCATCATCATCATCATCATCATCATCATCATCCACGTCATCATCGGGACACCGACGGGACACCGAAGGGACACCAGCGGGACACCGGCGGGACACCGCGCGGCACCGGCCGTCTGGTCAAGGTTCTTTTGCCCCGGCCGCGCCTCAGCCACACGGGACACCAGCGGGACACCGGCGGGACACCGCGGGGCACCGGCCGCCCGGTCAAGGTTTTTTTGCTCCGGCCGCGCCTCAGCCACAGGAGACTTTCTCTCGCCCGCCCACGCAGCTTCGCCTCGCCCGCACGGCACGCACGAACACGAAACCGAAATCGATCTCACCCCCCAACCTCCGATTGTTGTTTCAGATGTCCGTTGTCTTACCCGTTCGGTTCTCAGACCGTCCCCGACGGGGTACCGAGCGTGCCCAGGAGTACCAAGGGGTGCGTGGGGGTTTCGGAGGGCCTTAGGAAGCGCTGGGGGATGCTGGGGCATACCAGGGAGGGTCCTGTTTGACTCCATCTGGTTCGATTCGGACGCTCGAGTGGCGTGCGGATGGCCAGTTTGGTCTGGCCGCGCCCAGTTTCGGCCTACTCAGTTCTGGCTCTTTTTGGTTTGCGAGACGATGGGGACAACTTGTTTCAACGTTCTCTCGGCGTGCCTTCGGGAGAGTCGTAGGTTTATCAAGATGAGTGGACGCAGAACGCTCAACGACGCCCTAAGAGCGTCTCACACTATTGATTGGTTTGAGAATTGTTTCAATACCTTTGAGAGCCCAGAGAGCACCGCAAAAGTTGTCAAAGCGCCCCTGAAGAGGACACCTTGAAGCCCCCAAGAGCCGTAGAGGTCTCAAGAAGCCTCCATTCACTTTATGTTGAATACCGCCTCTTTTTCCTGATTACCGCGCTTTTTGCATCACAGTGCGCGCAATCGGGGGGCCTAGCCAACGGCATGGAGGAGCGGACATCGAGCCTCCCTCGAGCATCCAGGGAGGAGCAGTATCGACATCCGAGTGGCATCGGACGTGAAAGGCCGCTCGAGTGTCGGTGAATCCGATCTGCCTCGAGCATCGCAGTTCGAGACCCGTCGAATATCGAGATGCCGTACGGTGGAGGCGCGCATCAAGAAACCATATGAGCGACGCAAGAGGATGGGGTCGTCTGCGCCGACATTGGCGCGTAAGCTGCCAGCGTAAGCTCGCGCGTAAGCGCCCTCGTCTCTAATGCAGCGTACCGCGCCGACGGCCCGCGTAAGCCACCGCGTAAGGCCGCTATATCATCTCGCGTAAGACCGGTTTTGATCGTCGCTCATGCGAATTTCGTCAGGCTACCCTGGCTCCGCGCGCTGCGCGGTGATTCCCCGCAGCCGTTGAAGCTGTTGCGTTCAGGATCCTCCTGGTTCCCCCTCAGTCGCACCTCGCGCGCGGGTTTTCAGGTTTGGGTTTCTTGCGAAGGTTTCTAGCGGCCGCGCCCGTACTGTAGTTATCCGTCGACACCAGGCATCGAGCCTCCCCCATCGTTCAGCGAAGCTCATGCACCACTCGGCATCGGAGACCGCCTCGGGGCGATCCCCCAGCGGGATGCGCCGCGCCCCACCTCCCCCCCGCCACCTTCCCTTCCCCACGTGTGCGCGGTGCGGCCTGACAGGTGCAGACTCCGGACGAGCCGCTGAGAGAGCTCATGGACAAGGCGCCCCAACCCTTTGAGTCCACTGAAGGAGTGTTGTTTACCCTCTGGGCCATAACGCGCGTTATGCCCCCTACCAGGCCCTCCCCTCCCCCCATAGCGTAACGCTCCCCCACATCAGTGCGTCCCCAGCACTGCTGCAATGCGTCGGGCACTGCAGTCTTAGGGGGGGGGGGGCGCGCTGCGTGATGTCCTCCTCCCGTCCCCCCCTTCTGATGCTCCAGCCTACTTTAGCCTGAACCACCAGAAAGAATTTCGAGCACCAAGAAAGTACCGAACAACTCGAGGGTTTTCACGTGTCGGGCCCTGGGAGACATTCGTTCGACACTGTTTCGACACTTTTCCGTGTGCTCGAAATTATTTCTGGGATGTGGTCCTTAAGTGTGATGGGGGCAACATAACCCCCCCCCCTCCACCCCCCTGACGCCCGTGATGGCCGCGCCTACAAACATGCGCTCAAGGCAGCTGGGCGCCACCGTTCCTCCTGGCATCGGGCCGGCGTCTAGGCCCTCCTGGTCGAGTCCAGGATCGGCGGCGCGCCTGGGGGGAAGGCCCTGACCTTCCAGACAGGGCTGCACCTAAACGCTGTTTTGCTGGACTTCGACTGTGTTTTGTTTTTCGTTTTGGCAGGGAGGTACAGGAAACCAGGTAGTGCAAAACGAAAACCAAAACGAAAACAAAACGAACAACAACGTTTAGGTTCAGCTCTACTTCCAGAGTGCTGGAAAGTAGCCCTCCAGACCTATAGGCCTATCTGGACTGCCTAAAGAACCGCGACGGGAATTCGGGCGTCAAAGTCCTGGTGCTCTCTCTGAGCCCTCCTGGGAGGTCAGGGTGAGAGGGGGCGGGCCTCCTCAGAAGGCGCGGAGGAGCTCTGGCAGTCTGAACAGGTTTTTAAGCCTTCCCCGAAGGCGCAGAAAATCTCTCAGAAGACCATGGGGGGCTTCGGAGAAGCCCCGCCGCCTGAGATGGCTTTCTCCCTCTCACGTCCCCCTCCCCGGGCGCGCTGACAGGAGGCTGCATGCATCATCCCAGGGCCTAGGAGGGCTTTGGCCCGGGACGGTGGTGGTGGTGGTGTGGAGCTGCCGCCTTCGAACAGGGTGCCCACATCACAGGGCGGATGTCGGGCTCCGCAAGCGTCAGTTTGTCGCTGCCATCGGAGGAGGTATCGCCAACACCGACCCTGGCCAGGCCAACATGGGGAACTGCGTCTGTTTTTGTTTGGGGGACTTGATGCAACTTGTTTCTGTCTCCGCAGGCCTCTGGGGACCTCTGGAGGCTTCCGGGGACTTCGTGAGACTGGACGTCCAGAGACCCTGGAGGCTTCTGGGTACCTTCTTGTGAGCCCTTCTATGAGAGGGAACGTTCGTCCTTCGATCTCGCTACAGCCATGGCAAGTCATACCAATCACCCGCTTTCCCTTCATACCTCTGTGGTCTCAATCTGGCGGCCAGTTTGGAGCTTTGTACTTCTGTGGTGTGAGTCTGGCGCTCATGAGTCCCCTTCTGAGAGCTGGTATCTGCATAGGACGCTCCAAAAGTGGCCTCGCCCTCGAGGACGAGCAGTTGACATCGCGCCCTTGGCGGAGGCCGCCGGAACGCTTGTGGAAGTGGGCGGGAGTTCCAACGGCGGTGCTTCTGAAGTCGACCACGCGGAGATTACGGGGCGCCAGTTTTGTCCCAATCGTTGCACCCCCGAGTATTTAGGTCCCTCCATTCAGTGGAGGAAAAAGGTACTCATACCGCTACGGTTCTCTCGTTTTGCCTTTTTGGAGCCTCGTGGGAGGCCCTCGTCGCCACCGCTGGATTAGCCTCGAAATCCTGGTCGGAACGCACCCTGGGAGAGGTCTGGGTAGTAGCGCTATCCGTACCTTGTGGCTTCCTCGCCCATGGGATCCTCTTGAGCCTGCCTGGGCCAGCAGGGTTCAGTCAAGCTGTTTCAGGGCGTCTCGGGCTGTCGAAGTCCTTTTCAACCGACGTCGCACATGCGCGGATGCATGGATTCGCCTCGGAGGTGTCGAGACAGTCGTGTGCCATTTGCAGCCTGCACAGAGACCGAAAAGGGCTAGCCGCAGAAGAGTCTACGCATACGGTGTGGCCCAGTGGGTGGGGGCAATAGGATGTGACATGACCTCGGTAAGCAATTGCCGACCCCCCCAAATTTCTGCGAAATTGTTTCGATTCTCGTCCCTGGAAGTAATATCCCGTCCCCAGGCCCCGCAGTGCGGGATCCCACCAAGAGAAGATTAGGACTCCATTGGAATTCCAATAAACCCAAGAGGATTGCAACACTAATCTAGTAAAGACTACTCCAATCCGATTCCGATCGGTTCCCGGCAGGGTTCAAAGAGGGTCCCAGATCCAAGTAAGACTCATCCGTGGGAAACCCGCATGAGAGTCCTCCACTGGTGTCTCCCTAACCGGCAGCGGGCACTTTGAGCTATTATTTATGTAGTGCGTCGCGTGGATTGGTTGTGGCTTTGCATAGCATGGCAGTTTTGATAAGGCGCGTCCAGTGCTGAGTGGGAGCGCTTCATCGGGGACGTCTTGGTGGCCTCGTTTGGAGGCGTCTTTGGAGGGTCGAGCAGCCCCGGCCAGGCGGGGACTTCGGTTGCCCATCCTTGCAGTTTTTTGAGGGCTTCGCAGCGCGGGCGAACTCTTTGCGGGCTTCGGGCAAAGGGGCGGGCAAGCCCCGCCGAGCGGTGTCTTCAGGGACCGTGCAGACCCTGCGATGCCTCGAGGGCCGCGACTGGGTCCTTCTCCTCCTCGTCCGCTTGGTCACATGTTGGCAGGAGGCCACTTCAGCAGTGGCGCCCTGACTTTTTTCATCCATCTGTCGACACATATTGTACATATGTTGTGTGTGCGTGTTGCCGATTGGCCATTTGTGAAGTTCGGCGCAGATGTCAACGGAAACGTGGATGGATGTGCGTCTGGATTTGAGAGCAAGGATACCGAACTATATTTTATGGGACGGGTGTGGATTAAGTGGTTGGGCGGTGGCGAAAATGGATGTTCGCGCCAGAGTAAAGCATTGCCGTTTTCTGTGCTGGAGGGAATTGGATATAGGGGGCAGATGACAATCGTGAGCAAGGTGAGGGCACATACTGTTGAATGATTGGGTTCGCCCAGGTGGCTGGCATGTGGCAGCTTTGGTCTTCGTGTTGTGGCAGCGACAGAAGATACTGGAAGACCATTGCGCAGGTTCCTGTTGGAGAGGGGGGACATATATCTGGTTGCGCTGCAGTCTGAATCCGCTTTCGTGTTTTGGGTGGTGACAGGGGGAAGGGAGCGGGGGAAGGCGTGTAGGTACCATGGAACCCGTTACCCGAGATTTCGTTCGGATGTGTCGTGCGTGGGGGGAGCAAGATGTAAGGATTTGACAACGCAATGAGGGCTTGTTGGGTTCGATGCGTCGGGGAAGGGGCAATTCATGTTTCGCAGGATGCGACAACGATCTATATGGAAAGTAAGGGCCCGCAAACACTGGGCGTCTCGGGGCCCTCTTGAGCCTTTTGGGGGCCTCCTGGGCCTTCTTGGGGGCCTCTTGGGATCTTTCGGGGCCGTCTCATAGCACCATTGGCCCGTTTGATCCCTTCGGAGACCGTCTTGAGGGCTTGTCTGGGATGACTTGCGGCCCTCTTGGGGCGCTTTCGGGCGGTCTTGAAGCTCTCTGGGGCCCTCTTGGGGGCCTCCTGGGCCGTCTTGCGGCTTTACTTGTAAGTATTGGAGAGGCGTTTGGGCAGTTTTGAGGCTAAATTTGGCCGTTTCGGGTCCGTCTTAGTCCGTGTTGGCGGCATCTGCGGGCCATCTCGGGTTCTCTTGGAGCCATTTTGGTTGTTTTGGAGGCGTATTGAGGCCATCTTGACCGTCTTGGAGGCGGGTTGTCTTGACTTTGGGGTGGTTCCTGGTGGTTTCCAGGTGGCTGGCGGGTTGGTCGGGAAGCCATTGAAACAATTGTGGACAGGCCAACACGTACTCATAAATCTGGCACGCTAAGCACAATTGTGGCAAGCCACATGGGATGGCGGATCGATCACGCCCTCGGGGAGTCATCGCCGACCCCTGCTTGTATGAAAAACCGATGTGGCCAAACGTTTGGCCAACGTCTGACCAAGCTATTGGACTATGAGCTTCCCCAGCCATTGTAGAAACGTTTGAGGATGAGGCTGAGGTGAAGGAGGAGAAGGAGGACGAGGCAGGGAGGCCTCTTGGGAACTCCTGGGGGGTTCCTGGGGGCCTCTTCTTGGGCCGACTTGGACTGTCGGGAGCCCGGAAAGACGAGAACACGACTCTCATTCAAAGCAATTGGAAGACGAATAATTTGGCCTCTTCGGACCCTCCTGGAGAGCCTTCCGGAGCACGTGTGGAGGGCGTCTTCGTCGGCTTGGGCGGACTTTGAGGCCATCTTTGCAATCTTTGAGGCGTCGTGGGCCGTCTTCAAGGTCATCTTGGAATGTGCTGGGCCGTCTTGGAGGCCATCTTAGGTGTCAGGGAGGTGGGTGCAAGTCCTTCAGGGTCCTTTGTGGTTCGCCTGGCACTTTCCGGTTGACCCGCTGGATGGGCTGAAACACCACCAGGAACATTTTGGAAGGGTCAAGAGGTATCAGGCATGCTGACACTCCGAGCACCTTTTTGCGTGCTGCGGGGTCGGCGGGTCAAGTTTGGCCATCCCTCGCGGACCAGAAACCTTCTCGGGGGCCTCTTGGATGCCTTTCGGATGCCTCTTGGGCGCCTTTTGGGCACCTCTTGGGCGCCCCTGGGGGCTCCTTGGGGTCCACTTTGGGAGCTCTCAGGAGCCTTTTGGCGATCTCGGGGGCATCTTAGCACGAGGGAGTTCCAGGGGCTGTTCGCTTTCACACCTCTGGGGCTGAAATCATTGAAACACACACGGTTGTTCAATCATTATCATCATTTGGGAAAGTAATGGGCGAAGCCCCATTGTCACGCGGGACTCCCCAAGAGGTCCAGGAATATGGGCGTTGTGTTACAGAGTGTGGTAAGTCAAAACAGATATGTCGGTCGGAACTCAGGACACTCCAGCACGGTTGCGGATTTGGGAACCTTGTCTCCGGCTCGTCCTCGTTCTCCTTAGTCGTTGCTGGCGAAGTCCGGGTCCTCTTGCTGGTCAATGTCAAGGTTTGAGCTTGGTGTTGAGAACGCGCGTGTTTTTTTCGCATATGTTTTTTGCGGCGCCATTTCAACCCGCGCAGCGGCGTTGGTCATGCCCCCCTCATTATGCATGGAAACCGAGGTCACATAGCCAGTATCTTCGATACCGCGCGTTCACCGAGCGATCCTCGTCGTCACGCTTCGCTAGATTCGGCTCGAGCCGCTTCAACCACGACCAACTTGCGCAAGCTGCACAGTTCGCTCGCAGTACCGCGTCGCGTCTAGGTTTCTTCTCTACGCGGGCGACGCCAGTTCCACTCTTGGGATCGCCTGGTTCGTTTGGAATAGAGATGCCTCATATTCCTGGCACATTGGTTGCCCGACATGTCCTGCACGTATTAATTGGCCTTCTGCCCTATCCAGCCAGCATGCTTGGTTTGCGGAAATACGGCGTATGTGGGAACATTGATGAGGCCTTTGCGGTTCCCCAGGACGTGGGTTTTTGGTGTGTATGTGGTGTGTATCGAAGACGCTTACGGCGAGTCACCGCCGCCCGCTGCCTTTGGAATCGCCCATGTGGCCGAGCGTTGTGGCAAGAGCTCCGCCAAGCTATCGGACCATGTGTTCCCCCAACCGTTGTGGAGACCATTCTGGGAACACTTGGGGGAGGATGGCGGGGAAGCTCAGGAGGAGGAGGAGGAGGGGGAGGTGGAGGAGGAGAAGGAGGAGAGGGCATCATGGGAACCTCTGGGAGCACTCTTGGGGCCTCCTTGGAGCTTCCTGGGAGCCTTTTGGATGTATCTTTGGGGCCTCCTTAAGCCTCTTTGTTGCCTTGGGGGGCTTCGCGGGGGCCTCTTTGGCCGTGCCGTCTTAGGGCAGTCCTGGCCCGTCGGAAGCCATCTTGGGGGCCTCTCTGGGCCGATTGGGGCCCTCTGGGGATGCTCCAGGGCCATCGTGGAGGGTTCTTGGGCCATCTCGGGCCGTCGGAGGATCGCAAAGAAGCAAATGCCAAAATCCTTCAAACACCAACGAAAATCACTGATGGTGGCCTCTTCGGGCCTTGGCCTCTTCGGGCCTTGCTGGGGGCCCTCTTGGTGGCCTCTGGGGCCGTCTTGGAGACCTCTTGGGCCGTCTTGGGCCGTCTTAGAGCCATCTAGGGCCGTCTTGGTGGCCTATTGTCCCGTCTGCCGCCCTGGCAAGCCGTGTTGGGAGCTTCTCTGGGCCGACTGTAGGCCCGCTTGGGGTGCTCCAAAACCGTCTTGGAAGCCATCTTGGGCGTCTTGGAGGCCTTTTAGGCCGTCTTGGAACCTTCTTGGGGCCGTCTTGGTGGCCTCTTGGGCCGTTCTGGAGCCATCTTGGAGGCCTCGTGGGCGATCTTTGGGGGCTCTTGTGCCATCTCGGGCCGTCGGAGGACCGAAGAGAAGCAAATGCCAACGTCCTTCAAACTCCCACGGAAAGTAAATGAGTTTGGCCTCTTCGGGCTTTCCTGGAAGCCCGCTTGGAGGCCTCTTGGGCCGTCTTGGAGACCTCTTAGGGGCCTCTTGGGCCATCTTGAGGCTAGCTTAGGCCGTCTTGGATGTATCTTGGGCCGTCTTGGAGGCATCTTGGGGCCATCTTAAGTAACTCTTGGCCATCTTGGAGGCATTTGGGATGCCATCTTGGGCCATCTCAGCGGTGTTGAAAGCCATCTTGAGCCATCTTGGGGAACATTTCCCAGGAATTGTGGGCCTTCCGGGTGGCCGGAGGGACGGGCCGAAGCCCCAGGGAGAGATTTTGATGTGGGGGAAAACATGAGCAAAATCAAACGGTCTCGGATCCAGCACGCCGGGCACTCCTGCGGCAAGCCAGCAGGGGCCGGCGGATCGAAGACGCCTGCGGCGAATCACTGCCGCCCCCTGCCTTCTAGTATCGCCCATGTGGCCGAGCGTTGTGGCAAGAGCTCTTCCAAGCTATCGGACCATGTGTTCCCCCAGCCGTTGTGGAAAGCTTTCGGGGAACACGTGGTGGAGGATGGCGGGGAAGATCAGGAGGAGGCGGAGGAGGAGGTGGAGGAGGAGGAGGAGGTGGAGGAGAAGGAGGAGGAGGGGGAGAAGAAGGAGGAAGAGGGGGCATCTTGGGAGCCTCTGGGGACACTCTTGGAGCCGCCTGGAAGCTTCTCATTGGAGGCCTTTTGGGGGCCTCTTGGGCCGTCCTGGGCAATTGACGCCATGTTAGGCCGTCTTGGAGGCATCTTGGGCCGTCTTGGAGGCATCTTGGGGGGGCGAAACTATCGGACCATGTGTTCCCCGAGTCGGTTTGGAAAGCCTTCGGGGAACACGTGGGGGAGGAAGAGGAAGAGGATGAGAAGGAGGAGAAAGGAGAAGGGGGAGGATGCCTCTTCGGAGCCTCTTGAGGCACTCTTTGGCTCGACTGGGCCATCTTGGGACCGTCGTGGAGGCCATGTTGGAGCCTCTTGAAGGCCTCTTGGGGCCTTTTTGGGACTTCTCGGGGGCCTCGTTGGCCGTCTTAGGGCGTTCCTGGCCCGTCTGACGCCGTCGGGAGCCGTCTTGGGGCCTCTCTGAGACGGCTTGGGGCCCTCTTGGGGCGCATCGGGGCTGTCTTGGAGGCCATCTTGGGCGTCTTGGTGGCCTCTTGGCCCGTCTTGGGGCCGTCTCGAGGGCCTCTTGGGCTGTCATGGGGCCATCTTGGAGGCCTCGAGGGCGATCTTGGGGCGATCTTGGGGGCCTCTTGGGCCGTCTTGAGCCGTCGGAATGCCGAGAAGAAGCAAATGCCCAAATCCTTCAAAAACCTATGGATAATCCATGGTTTTGGCCTCTTCGGGCCCTCCTGGAGGACCTCTTGGAGGCCTCTTGGGCCGTCTTCGAGGCCTCTGGGGGGCCTCTTGGGCCGTCTTGGACTCTCTTGGGCCGTCTTGGAGGCCGTCTTGGACCGTCTTCGGCGAACTTGGAGGCCATCTTGGACCATCTTGGAGGCCATATTGGGCCAACGTGGCCATCTTGGCGCCATCTTGAGCCGTCTTGGAGGATTTTTTTCCAGATTGGGTTTTTTCCGGGTGGCCGGCGGGACGCGCCGGAGCCCCAGGGGGAGTTCTT